TAGAGTCTTCTATGTATAACATCCGTAAAACTGTGTATTCTTGAAGTTTTTCTGGCACGTAGTTCTCTATCTTGTCTGAGATATTTGTTTTGTGACTCCCCGGCTTCTTCACTCATTCTTCCTAGAGGTAATGGTAAGGCTTCCATGTAGTGTTTTGCATGAGCAAGTGCTCTGTGAAGTGTTACTGGTATTTTGAACCAACTATATGTTGTCAAAAACATTCTGTATGTTTCTTTACAGTACCTATCAAATTCATCTAGATCATCAACTGGTTCTAAACTTCGAATTTGGTTTAGCACATAGCATATACGTTTAATTATTTCTTCATTAAGATATAGAGTTTTAGCTAGAAGCTCTGGATTTTCAAGAACTTTTCTTGCAACGTTTCCTGTATCTGATGATCCAGCTCCCCCTTGTCTTGGTTCGAGTACACGAACATTAAATGCATCCCACATTGCTTGCTTTATTCTAGCCTTTTCAACATCTAAAACAATCTGTTCCTCTTCAGTTATCTCCAGCCAGTGTTTTTGAACATATTGTTTATATGACAAATCATATAGAGTCGTGAGTACGTTCATTGATGTATGAAGTGGCTGAGTGTTGAAATACAAGTGTTCTTTAACAAATTTTCTGTGTGTTTTTTCGAATCTTCCATTATCAAGATTATTTATGTCACTCATCTCGTTTGGTCCAGATCTACAAAGCTGACATCTGCAATATCCTGATGTTTCTGTAAGGTCTGTGTAAACTTTTCCATCTAACATTGTGGGGTAGAATTTGTACGTAATTTCCAAAAGCATGTCTTCACATATGAATCTCTGTGGTTCAAGTTTTGATATTTGATTTTTTATATCTTCATATATCCTTCTAACATTTACTCTGGTTTCTTTGGCATGTTCAAGTTGTATTGGTCGTACTGAGTATACAGATTGACTGTTTTCGTTGTCCCATAAGCAGATATAATTTCCGTTTTCGTCTTCATGTCGTAGTTGCTGAACACTCATACTAACTGTCAATAGTGATTTGTCTTCTATAATTTCATTATTAGTCGTTTGATTCGGTTGTGTTCTATCTCGTTCTTGATTTCTTGAATTTGTTTTTCCTTGGTTATACTGTGACTGTCCTGTTGTTCCGTCCATCCCCCATGTGACGATCATTTCTGCATGAATAACTTTTGGAGTTGATTCTGAAGGTAATATTTTGATTTTGTCGTATATTTCTGAATTGTGTGCTTCAATAACTCTTTTTGTGGTGAGTTGTGTCAAATTTTTTAGTGGAATAACGGCTCTTGTATCGGTGACCGTTATGTCATCAGGATAGCATTGTTTCTCTAACCTCAACAATTTTTTAGCTGTCGGTAAAACGTTTTCGCATTCCAGTTTCAGGACTTGTCGAATATTGTTGTACTGATTTCGAGATAAATTGTTAAAGGCTTTTACACCTAGAGCTACATGTATATCTAGTTGTTTAGGTTTTGATGTAGTTTTTTCTGGAAGATCCTCTCCTTTTTGGCACGCCTTAATAAATTCTTTTAACATTTTAGCTCCTTCTACTTTTCCTTCTTCTTTAGAAAGGCGAAGTGCCAAGTGAAGAACTGATAACAATGATCCTTTTGCTTCTTTTAAACTGATATCTAATTCGTCCACTCTTCTACGTCGATGCTTATCGCTTGTTAGTTGTTCAAATGATTTCCTCTTGATGCCCTTGCTGGATGAAGGCTCTATGTCATGGACGATGTATTCAATCTCATCCATATCTTCATCTGTGTCAGTAACATTTTCTGCTTCATATATAGATTCTTCCTCAAAAAGAATCCCTCCACTAGATTCGCTGAAGTATCGTGAGTCAACTTCAAATTCCTCTTCATAGAAATCTGCATGATCTCTTAATGCATTATTCCAATTTGACTGATTACAAAACATTTTTGACTTTGACTTCAGCTTGTTTAATTTATTAATTAAACTTGGTTTCTGTGATTCCGCTAATTCTCTCCCATGAATTTCTTCTATTACTGCCTAACAGTACGTGTGCTGTGTTGCAAGATTTAACGTTTTGTCGCGAAGAATTTCACAGAGTGTTTTCTTCGTAAGTGTTGAATTTTGGTTCATTTTTGAAAGTGACTTGTTCAATGAAGTTCAAAACTGATATGATGTGTAGAGAGAATTTCACGAGTATATATATAAAATAGTTTCAAAACTGAGATTTTCACACCTGATAGTGACTACCAAGGGTACTTTACAAAGTTGTTAACTAGGGAAGTAAAAAGTTTCTAAATTTAATTTTTTGGCTTTATAATCTCATAAATGTCATAAATAAACATAAAAAAGTTCTAAAAAAATACTCGAGATTGCTTAAAAGTGGTATTTTTGAAAATGCAATTTTTGGGAATTTTTCAAAAACTGCGTATGTCACAATCAACAGCCCTATAAATAACCAGGACTAAGTTAACTAGCAAGTATTATATATCGTTGGATAGGTATTACATTAGGCTACAATAATCCGAAAACAGAATTAAAAAATATTTTTTCAAAAAAAAGTTATAGTGGTTTAAGTAGGGTGACAAATGGCCAAATCGATGGAGAGCACATACCCCCTATATCTCGAAAGATTTTGAAGTTTTTGAAAAATTTTCTTCACAAAATCATTTAAATTGTTATTTTTCATAAGAAAACACCAAAAAACTATTTTTAAAACTATGTTTTCGTATTTTTAAAAGAATTATTAGTTTTTGGCCAAATACTCAACGACCTACTAAAATCAACATAACTCAATTACGTTAGCTTACTTTTTCAAAGTTTATACAGTTTTGAAAACTAGATATATGGGGCTACAAAACTGCGTTTTTACTTGCCTGGAAACTCTTCATTTATGATAGTTGCGGCTTGTTTGAAGATAATTTTCCTGAAATTTTCACATATGTTCTACCATAATGGCACGAAAACATTCAGAACCTAAACTTTGTTATATGTCAAAATAAAGCTCTTATATACTACTAATAGGAACTGAAAACCGTTTTGCAATATCTTAAACCAGTTAAGATATTTCCCGGTTCAAACATGGTATGAAAAAACCAGAATTTTCACTAGTTTTCAACTTCAAACAGCTCTAGAATCGCGAAATCAGCACCAAATGACCTGAAATTTGGCATTTCTATCTACTTTTATGTCCTCTACAAGAAAAAATCACCCAAAAAGTGTAAATCGGAAAAGTCCATTTTTCAAAGTGAAAGTCCCTTTTTTTTTCATTTTGCCCCATAGTGTACCGACAATATCGAAATTCATTGATAAAATTATGATGAATGAGTAAAGGATCCAATCACCAATGTAAAGAGCTGTTGAGCTCATATAGGCACTGTAAGTCATGCAGCAACATGCTATAATATAGTTCAAGCCAGTTGTGTGGTCAAATGGAATCCAAATTTCTACTCGAAAATATTTTGTGCCATTTTCCATGTAGCTTTTAACGAAGTCTAAGACTGCAAAAATTAAGGTAAGAATGCATAATAATCCATAAGAGATTTCTCGTTTAATTAACACTTTATGGTACTTTTTAACATTGTACATTGCTTGTTCCTGATTAGTCTTTGGAAAAACTCCATCCAGGAGGTTCAGAAATTTTTGAAGCTGCTCTTTTTTAAAACAAATCATTAGGAATCTATAGACTAAGAACATGTTGTTACAAACATTCGGCATTGTTCGCAGAACTAATTTTGGATCATCCAAATGAAGTATAAAGTACATCCCGTATAAAAAAGTCGATGTAATTAGTATAAATACACAGAACACAAAGTAGATTTTCCTAAGAATTTTCCTTATTTTTCTCCTATTTGTGATGTCCTCAATTTCATCCTTTTTCCATTCAAATCCAGTCATTTTTAAAACACCCATTGGGAGCATGTAGAAATCTTCTAGTGATAGGATGTTAAGATTAATTCCAAATATTTTTAGGATGCTATAGGCAATTAGTGATATTTTCTTTCCGCGATATCTTATGCCTGTGAACATTGTGAAAGCTTTTTGTTGACTGTAAACTTTCTTCTGACATTAATTTGAGTTTTTTTTTAAAATAATAAAATATTTATGTAATTTACATGTTAATTAAAATTTAAAGAGAATTGTTTTCAGGGGTTATTCAAAAATGACGTCAATTAAAACTTAAAGTTGTCTTAAGATGTATCTAGGGGAATGGGTTAGCGTCAAGTGTCTATAAACATTTTTAGCGAAATTTTGAAACTTGTTTCGAAAAGGGAGCTTAATAGTTCACTTTGTTCGTTCGTTCGGGCGGAGAAAAACTTTTTAACTAGACATCGTAGAGAGTTCTAGTTTGTTTTATTAGCTCAGGTTCATTGTTTCATTTTCAGGAATCGCATTTAAAAGTCTTGAAACAGTGTTTTTTGTACTATAATTAAAGATTTTTATATTTCATATGAAAAAACACGTGATGAGAGCGTTTAGAAATTCGAATTTATTTCTACCGTTGAAAAATTTTGAATCTCAAAAAACCATTAAATTACAAAGCCTTTTTATTTGAAAATTTTTTGCAACAGACTGTTATTCATACTATAATTAATGCTTTTACTGTAATTTTTGGCAAGATACTTTCAAATGCATACGGCCGTTACAAAATTTGAACTTCAGAAAACCATTAAATGATAAACAGTTTTACTAATATTTTACTACTGAATCCATGTTAATTAACCAGTCAAATACTGATCGCTGCGTCAAAAATGCGCTGAAATCCCTTGATCAATAACACGAGGACTTTTGAAATCTTTTTAAATTTATTAAGGTTGTTTAAAAAATAAATCTGAAAATACGACAAAATATGTTTTACAATACCTCTCTGTCTCGTAATTGATATAATTTTCAATAAAATATCTACATAGGATACAATATGTCCTGAAAAAAAATCAAAAAACCTAATTCACAAATTTTCCTAAAGAATTTATTAATTAATTTATATTTACGAAGAGTAATTATAATTACTAATACTAATTACATTCAAATATTGAACTCGGTTACTGGCACTGATGGATGTCGATCCTGTTGTTTTGTAAAGTATACACAATTTGTTGATTGTTCTATATATCATATAAATATAAAGATATTATTAGATACAAATGGTATGTTATGAATTAATAAATGTCATTATCTTTAATTTTAAATATTTAAACTAGATTTTCAGTTCTATTTATGGAAGTTTCAATTACTACCGATAATTAAAAAATATCTTTTAGACCCTTTGTCATTTCATCAATTAAAACATAAGAAATTAAAATTTAAATCTTTAAAGATCTGCGTCACATCCCCCCTCATAAGTAAGCCCTGACTCACCTTTCTCTTGAACAAAATAAATATGCTTGGGAAAAACATAACTGTACAGCACATAAAAAGCTATGAGTATGCAGATGAGAAGAAATGCTATTGATGATAAGACCACTATAAGTACTGTAGAAATTTCTGGCTCGACTGGTTTTTCTGCCATCACTAAGTGCCTGCATATGATAAAAAAAATTAAGATTATTTTTAAAAAATTTTGTTTTCATTGTCAAGAATTGACAGTGTTGTTATCTAATGCTTGGTAATGCTTGGGAATGTTATCTAGAGTTTAACATATAGAAAACATATAGATTAGGGATGAAAGGAGACAAATAGGGCCTCTAGACACCACGAAGTAAGATCAAAAATCCAATGAAAAGATGATTTTAAAACAATCAATAGAGTTGTAAAATTCGCCTTGCTAATGACAACAATGTATCACTAAAAATAAGGTCTATTGAGTTTAGATCCTCTGTATACTTCTATAAATAATATTAACAACACTGTCATACAAACATCCCAGCACAATTCCTCAAAGTAGGAGAACAAAAAGGCAGCAGTTAAAAATTATTTTTACCTCGTTGACTCTTCGAAAATGTCACTTATTGTCACTTCCTCCTCCGTCGTTGTCTCCAGCATTGTCGTAGTTTCAACTTTTGTCGTTTCTGTCACCACCTCCGTAGTTGTCTCAATCATTGTACTCGTAATCATTTCAGTTGTTGATTCATCATCAAAATTATTAAAATCAAAATTCTCAACACAATCATCATGTAGCCACATATATCCCTCGCTACAATTCTTTATGCACTCATTGTCCGCTATCATATAAAAATTTTCATGACAAATGCATCCGTCGGTAGTACAAACTCCGTTCATGCATGGCGGATCGCACATTGCAACACATGTACAGTTGCGATTATCTAAAAATTTGTAACCCGGATAGCATTCACAAATATTTGGTCCTATACAATCGCCATTAATGCAATCATGTCCATCTTCAAATGAGCAAATTGGCATGCATGTTGACGTCTCGATTGATAATTTATAATCTGGTGGACATACGCATTGATCCTCTAAACATTTGCCGTTAATGCACTTTTTATGGCAAATTTTAGAACACTTGCCGTTGTACATTTCATATCCATAATTGCATATGCATGTTGCATTTTTATTACAGCTTCCATTCGTGCATGTTCGACGGCAATCTCTAAGATCCTTGATCACATTAGCCTCGAAACATTCATTTGGTATTAAATATTTCTTAAAGTTCTCGTGACATTGACAAAGGTTTGGTTTTACGCAGTTGCCATTAATACAGGCAGGAACACATTGTGGCATACAAGTTCCATTTGAATTTTTTTCATATCCTTCATTACATTCGCAATTGTTTGGTCCAACACAATTTCCATTCCTACAATTATTGCACATCGCTTCACATTCAAATTCTGATATTTGTTTGAATCCTTCATGACATCGGCACTTACTGGGTGCGAAGCAATAAGCATTTATACAATCAAAATCTTCCTCGGTAAATGAACAGATTGGCTCACAATGTGTCTCGTTGGTTTTCTTGTAATCTCTTTTACATGTACAATGATTTGGTTCTGAACATTCCATATTGACACCACATGGATGATCACATGTTGGCATGCAGTTGTACTCGCTGATTTTATGGTAGCCTGTATTGCACTGGCACTAAAATTGAAAGAGAAAACAAAATTGTCATTAGATAAGAAGTTGTTTAAATGTGACAACGGTTGGGATTTCAGAAAGTCCTACAAATCAATGTTGGGGCAGCACAAAACTCTGTACGAGCTCATTAGCATTGTTGAAGTGTTCGATAGCTCACTTTTGAAGATCAGCATTTAGAAGTAATTAAACTAAAGTTCTTGCGAATCAGATATAGTGTGACCTTAACATTTGGTATCAAAAGTCTCACTCTTGAACATTCGCTTAAAAATAGCTCGATGCTTGAGATTTTACTATTTCTGTAACAATACCATAAATCGTTATCTACAGTGATTCCCATTAAAATAACTTTCCTGGAAATTCACAATCACAAAATTCTTGCTATCTTTAAAGTTCTCCGTATTAATTATTTCAAATCATGCTTTGTATAACGGAAACGCAAGCTTGGGCAAGCTTAAAGTCAACAATATTGTTACTCAAAATATTAAATTTGCACAAGATTTCATTCACTTCAATTTATTTTCATAGACATTTTTCAATAAACTTTATTGATCTCTAATGAAAATTTAGTCGGCAATTTTCATAGTGAAGCCACTTTGACACAATGTTTACATTCCAATTATTTCATCATAAATCTCACAAATGAATCAATAAAAATGCACGGAAAATTCAATGAATGAAAAATTATTTTTCTCTCACACAGCAATTTTCCTTCCTACTTCTATTTGCACAAAAGCAATAAAAACAGCAAATAATGCCAGCTGTCATTCAGCTGTGAGATAAATTTTTCCGACTCTCTCATAAATTTATTGAACTGTATACTCACCGTATTATTTCCAATACAATAGCTATTCACACAATTTACTCTCCCACAATCGGGTTCACATTTATCGGCTTTCTTGATGAAGCCCTTACAGCATCCTTGAATGCTTTTGTTGATCCAGTAAGGTGTTGATAAATTTGTTACGACTAATTGTCTGAGAGAAATGAAAGATATAGACGAAAATGAGATTCAATGAATTGTTTATTTTTAAAAAGGGAATTTAATTTGGTAGTAAAAAAGTGCCGTAAATCATTCTCACAAATTTGTAACCTTCAGTCATCTGCTGACTAGTTTTGCTAGTGTATAAACAATGAGTTTATGAACTGAATGAACTTAGATTTTATGAAGTTACCTGATGGTGAGCTTAATTGTTTGAAAATTGAGTCAAAGGATTCGAACTAATTTAAATAAAGATCAAAATTTAATTGCTTTAAAGACGGCTCATATTATGTCTTTTTCGTATATTTGTAGCCTCTTGTAATGTCATGAACATTGTACGATTGTAGAGTGAGAAAACGGTCGTTTGAAGGATTTGAACTCACGATCTTATAAGGTTGAGACTTAACAACTAAAGCACAAATTTTAGTTTTGAAACAGAATTTAAATTTTAGACGCAATTTCAAAACTATTATGAAATCAAGGCAGGATTGACTCTGAAAAATCAATAACAAAACCTAAAACATCCCTGAGCCAGTCAATAAACATGAAAATGTGAAATTCCTTTTAAATCCCTGATGCATTTGATGAATAATTGTATCATGTTTATTGGCTGGCTCAGGGATTGTTTAGGATTGGGATTTCATTCAAAAATATAGAACAATTCTCTGAATAGCCATGCAAACCTTCGGTTTGTAGAGAATTTGACCAACACCAGAAAACAAATTAAAATTGAGTCTCCTATTTTTTTTTTTGAAAATAAATCAATTTCGGCCATTCTCAAATGTTCACAAAATACTTTTAAAATATTTTCCGTTAATATTTCATTTTATGTCTCATAAAAATTTGAATGTGAATTCAAATATTGGAATTATTCTTAATTTTAATAGGGCTCGTCGAAATTAAATTAAGAGCTAGTTTCTGTGAAAACAAATTAATTTTCATCATTAGATAAGTTTCTAAATGATCATTCTGATATAGATCACTCATAAGATGAATATAGGCAGAATAATTTGTCCTAAATAGATAGCATGAGCTCAACATCGACAATTTCTCACTCGAGCTTCCTTAAATCGTTAAAATTAATTTAATAACCAAACGTTTCAATCTTTTTTGACTTTGATAACAAATCAAGCTAGCATCAATAAAATCCAATCCTAAACTTACGGTATGATGACCTCACAAATTCCAAAATCCAATGCAAATGCATAATTTCGAATGTTAACTAAGAAGATCAATATAATACTAAAAGATTTCGTTTTCATCCTATGAAAAAGATTCATCTACAATAATTTAAAAAAAATACTACAGTTTAACTATCGGACATCTCGCAAGAAACTGAAAAGCTGAAAAGATTTTTTTGTTTCAATTTTGAGATTTTTAATTTTAAATCCGAGAGAAAAGATGAGAGCAAAAAAAATGTTAAAGAGAAATTGTTGTTGATATTGGAAATTAGTTCTGTTTTGACAATTTGAAGTTCCAGAGATGAAGTCATAAATAAATGACAGCTGATAATTAGTTGAGTCATGTGCGTCTCTGCACTCTCGTACCAACAAGTCTCTGTTGTAATTTCTTATCAACTTTTTTTTCTTCCGCTTTCATTTGTTGTTTTTGTTTTCATTTCCATTTTTAAACAGAACAGCATTAATGACAAATCATTTTGGAACTAATTCTACTCGGAGCTTGTCTTTGATGTGGGCTTGAAGGAAAGTTAATTATTTTTATGGATAATTATTTTCTTTACTCTGTTCTGTCTGTGAATGAATCGTGTTATAGATGTGAAAACTAAAGTACATTTTTTGGGGGGTTTATGTGGTGAATAAACTTCATGGGGCTTGCTTGTTATGTCTGTCTGTTAGATTTGGATACTGCAAATTTTTAATTGGAATTTACGGGATTATTGTAAATATTGCAGATGATTTTCAAGGAATTTCTGACTAGTATTGACTTTCTTTGTGATTCGGCAAATTAAATCATCAATTTAATGGAAAAAGTCATAAAACTAAAGAAAGTGGAGCTGTGTAAGATATGGCCTAGGGAAAGTGTAAGCAAATATTTGTCAGATCAGGATCTAATCAAAAGTGTCGAATGATTAATATTATTTAAGCTCTTCGCATCGAAGTCATTTTCATTAACTTCTTAAACTTCTTAAAAGACTGAAAATACAGAACTAATGATGAATTTGAATCCGATATTTGTGAAACCATCCAATCAAATTTTAAAGCCACAAATTTTTTTCACAATCTTAAGAATCTAAATCAAAATCCCCAAAAAAATAACTCATGCGTCAAAATAATTCCATTAAAACTTCAAAAGAACCCCAAACAGAACTATCACACATTAAAGAGTATCTCAATACAAAAAAAAATGAACATTTCATTCATATTTAATGAGCTCTTATTCCAGTAAAAAGGTTAATTTGCTCATCCAAACAAATCTTCGTGCCCCAGTAACCAAACGTAGAACGTTCTTTCTCGCAGATAATCTTTCTCTTTATATTCTAGTAAAAAACTGGTTTAACTATAGCTGAGAAAAACCAATAAAAAAATGCATTAGGTACAAACTTTATCTTTTAAACAGGTTTTTAGCTAGCTTCAATAACCTAGCTAAAGAATATCTAAATACTATCTTCTTTTACAATAGCCTTTACAATTCTTCATTTTCCTAGCAATTAGCTAACTTTTCCTAGCTAGCTAAAAGTAAGTCTTTTAAAACAAGATTTTGACTAAAATATAATAAATGAGTTTTTTCAGATAGTTAAAAGAAAGTTAATTACTAATTGCGATTAGAATTTTCCAATTGCTCATGCTCATATTCATAAAAATGTTAATCGAGGTTTGACTTTTAAGAAGTGAACACGTTGTTAGTTGTAGTTGAATAAAAAAACATCATTTTAAAAACTTTAGTAATTTAAAGTGCTTAGTTGTAATGGGTAAGTACAAACTTAATCAAGAATTAACAAAGAGTGGACGATATAAAAGAAAAAAATTAATTATTCTCATTTTCCAATTATGCTAATGATTCGTTATTTGAAAATTTCATATTATATAACTTAATTTCTATTTTAATTTAGCATACTGAGCAGTCCTGCCCTAATACTTTCAGTACATCTACAACCAATCAACAAGAAATCCCGCAATCCGACCTAGTTGACAACAATTTATCTTCAATCAAGCAACAAGAAGTTCCACAAAACTCCCAAAACATAAATTGTTTTGATTCAGGTATCAACGCTGATTCACCGCGTTACGTATTAGTGGAAGAAGTCGCATTGAAGGTAATATTTTATCAAATTTTGCTACATAAATCAAGATATATAGATGGGCTCATACAGAGTATACTTGACCATACTCGACCATATTATTTTTTGTGTACTTATACAAACAAAAATTTTTAAAATTTTCTATTTTCAAGTTTTCATTTAAATATCGGCAGATGCAACAACATTTGACTTTAGTCAGTTACTTTTAATTATAGCAAAGCATTTGCAATACTCCTGTATCAACAAAACTTAACAGAAAGTTGAAAATTTTGCAAAACAAAAATTGAAAATTTTCTTTTATAGTGTTAGTGTTTTTAGAATATTCAAATTTTTGACGTTTAAAAACTGCGATATTTTTGTATGAGCACATCTATATATCTTGACATAAATAATAAGGTTTTAATTCAATAATTTTATTTCTGTAGATTATCATTCAATCTCTTGATGAACTTAAGCTAGCTGTCAAGATATTGACAGATACTATTATGAGTGGAAATCTGGATTTAAGCAACAATATCCTGACTAAATGAAAAAGATGAGTTGGGGTTTGAAGAACGGTGTTCCGAGAGGAGAACAAATCTGCTTGATTGATTGGCCAAAAATCACGGAACTAATGCGTGAAGTTTTATCAAAAACAAATGGAAAAGGAGAAGTTATTGTTGTTGAAGATAGCAAATTGCGTTTGTCAATCCAAGGAGTCTTCAAGAACCATATACACAAAAAATCTTAATTATGTGATCTCTTATTGTTAATTCTTTATATATTTACAATTAATCCATTAAACACTCGTTCATTTAGTACGTTCAGGGGGGGGGGGGGGATTAAATAAGATCTGAACAATTGAAATTCGTGGAATTCGAACGAATTATAGATTTAAACGAATTATAGAAATAACATAAATAAAAGAAACAAAAGAAATATCAAAAACACCTAAATTTTGAAGAATTTTTCAATCTTTTTTTATTTTCAGTTTTACAATTAATGTGAATTTAAAGACAAAAGCAGGAGTAACGCAGAATTATATCAGCTTTTCAATGAAGCTGATATCGTACGACGAATCAAAGTCAACAGACTCCGTTGGGCTGGACATGTCGTTAGGAGACCTGTTGAAGCTCCCATTAATAAAGTCTTTAAGAATGTTTTTGTAGATGGCAAAAGAACACGCGGGCGACCCAAGAACTCTTGGAAAGAAGCTGTTGACAGAGACAGTATTGCATTTGGTATGGTTAATTGGCAAACGGAAGCCAGCGACAGAGTCAGCTTCAGGCGCCATCTAAGGGAGGCCATGGATCACAATTGATCTGTACGGCCAGCGAAGTAAAGTAAGTAAGTGAATTTAAAGTATGATATTAAAAAGCTATATGTATAGTGTAAAAAGATTGGTATTTGTATATTGTAAGAAGATAGCTATTTATGTAATGTTAGAAGACAGTAACTATTAGATAGCTAGATGCATGGTTCAAAAAGTTAATAAAAAGCTGGTTGAATAATTAAAATGTAGCTAGTTAAAAGACAGCTTAAAGACAGTCTGTAGACTAGTTGCAGTAGACTGTCTAATAGGGGCGGACGTCGCAACTCTGTGTCTAGACATAAAAGTTAGTTTTAAACTAGTATATAGAGAATTCGTAGCTAACTGTGGATTCGCTATATAATAGATTTTGGTCACTGGGGGTGATTTTATTCAATTTCGTAAATGAGCAAAAAATTAATGATTTTTTAGCTAGTAGAAATAGCAATCAGTCCGCATTTGTAAGTAGGAAAAATGAAAACTCAATTTTCTCTCGGTTTACAGAAATAAATCAGTTCGTATTTCCGAAAAAAGTTAAAAAAAAATTAATTTTTGAAGGTCGACTGGATCAAAGGTTCAGGAAATGAGGAATTATATGGGTTAATTATTGGTAGACATTATGTGGGAGAATTTGCTGAGTGTTCTTTTGATTGACATCAGGTAAATGATGAAGTCATCGTGGGTAAATGAAATTTAGGAGTTTGTCAAAATGTCAGCAGATAAAAGTGTCAAAAAGTTTTCCATTAATTTTTGAGCATAAATTCAACACAGAACCTTCTTATTATTAATAAATCAAACTCAAAATTCCTCAGTCAACAAACATCTCTACATATCCATTAAAAAATTGATTCTCATACATAAAATTATTAATTACTCTCGATGTAACATCAAAATGGAAATGAAAATTTCATTATCATAACAAAAAGTCAAATATTAATCCCACGAGAGGCTGTAAAAAATCAATCAACAAGTTCGAAGTTGAATGTATTGCAAAAGCGACCAAAAGGCAACAACATTATTAATTAAATCGATTCTTTAGAATGATTTTGTCAGAATTTCTTAAATGTTTTTGAAAAGAAAAAAACGATCTTTTTTAAATTTGAATTTTCAACAAACTTTTAAATATTATTGAATTTTATCACTTTTCCAGAAATGTAATTTTTTCCATTTTCCCCCTAAATATTAAATTTCAACCAGCAAAAAAAAAAATCTGACAAAATCTTCCTTGCATCTCAAAACAGTTTGAAAAGAAAAACAGAACTCTGTTTATTTAATAATGTTTGACCATCTGACATAGGTCTGAATATTTTCTTTTTTTCTTCTTCTTTCTCTTCTTCATAATATTTACACTTAGCTCAAGAAAAAGAAGGAAAACTGACTCCGAAATGATTAAAAATGATTGCAAGTCATGTGTAGTTTAATTAAACTTTTTATTGATCTTTTTCCGAATCGATGACACGAGATGTCAAACATTCGTGATGTGCGTGGTTTTAGATACAACATTTAGTACTTGATACACTTATTTCCACTCTTGAATCTTCGATCTTTGACGTAGCCTGAAAACAGATATAGAAATTAGTGAGAATTGTTTATTTTTGAGGGAATTATAGACGCATTTTGAGGTTAATTATTTAAAGATTGAAATTTTTTTGATAATTTTAGGAAAAAAAAATGCATTAATATCATTGGAATGAACTCTTGCCACGACGTAGTCTTGGAATATATCAATAAATTTGGAAATTAAGGCTTTACTGCGAATTTGAATTGAAAAAGCTTTTTGATGTGAGAAATTTTTAAAACAATTTTAGCCATTTTTAAATTCAAATTTCAAAAAGCCGTTAGAACAAAATGTTATGTTACATCGGAATCACATTTTGAAATCAAAGATCAAAACCATAAAATTAAATCCTAAAAGCAAAAATCTCTCTATTCCTATATCATCTAAAATCATGTGCTGCCAACAGCACCTATTACTCTTATAATTTGTATAACTCTATAAATAATTCCCATTCAAATTTTAGTAAAAATAGCAACAACTAACCAGCGTAACATAAACACATATTCGGACCGGAACATATGCCATTTTCACATGTTGGATTACACGTGGGAACACATCGATACGAGTCAGTCGCGTCCTTGACATAGCCTTTATTGCACGTACATTGATTTGGTCTGCAATAATAATAAATAAGTGAGAATAGTTTTATGGCTAATTGTGATATCAATATACCCAGTGCATTTTCCATTCAAACATTTCTTGTCACATTTTGGTGAGCAAAATTTACGGTTTGGTTCAGAAAAGTAGCCAGGATTGCAGTCACAGGTTCCATCGGGGTTGCAGACTCCATTTTCACAACCTAGAAATTAATTTTAACGATCAGAAAAAATAAAAATTTCAATATGTAGTTAAATGCCACTTCCAGTACATACCAATAGGGCATGTAACTTTACATTCTCCAGCCTCAGTCCTTACATAATCAGGATAGCAAGTGCATGTTTCAGGTGCCGTACATATTCCATTCACGCATTCCTTGCTACAAATCGGCAAACATTTTCTAAAAATATGCTTATTTCGCTGATAGCCGTCACAGCAAGTTTGAATTCGCGATAAACTCGGGTCAGACTTGCGGAATTAATAAATAATAAAAACGTACAAATTAATGTGAAATGAAAAAAAAGAAAAGTTTTTGTGGGTTTTGTGTCAGGTTGTTTGTTCTGTGTCAATTAATTTTAATTTACAGGAATTGGATTGAGGTAATTTAAACTTACTCCATTACCATGAGCATGAATGTTGTTTGTCAGTGATGCGGTCCTTTTTTTAAAAATAAAAAAAAAATTAAAATTTATTTATGAAATTATTTTACATCCTCTTCCATAACTTACGGCACTTCCTTAACACAAACTCCACTCGGCATCGAGCTCAATGTCTTGTTAATAAATTTATCCAATGATGGCTTTGAAACATTCAATGGTCTTGTCGTCGTCATCGGAATCCAAGTGCTTTGATTTTTTTGCTGATCCCCATGGTCATGCATAGACATATTGAGTTGTGGATATATATTTTGATATCTCCAATCCTCACCCCTCTCGATGTCTTGCAAATGTTGCGTGGAATTTATCAAATGACTCACGTCAACATGTTGACAGCTGACGATAGTGATTGCGAGAAGCGCTAAGCCGATTATTGTCTTTGAATCCATTCCGATTGACATTGAAATGAAAACTGAATGAGAGAATTTCTATTTTGTAGTTTCTAGCTTGTGCTGATTACAATTGCTGTGATCTCAAAATGAGAATTTACTGGAGATGACTAATTTTAGTTGCTTATGAGATTTATTTTAAAATAAAGTACAAAAGGTACGAAAAGATGAAGATAAGAAGCGCTGTTTTGAATATATTTCGCAACAGTTGTGACAAACTTTAGGACAGAATAGCTGCTAAGTTGACACTGAGACTTAGAGTTGCACTAACAGCACCATGATGTCTTTATTATACCACTTTCAATGCCGTATGCAATATAGCCACATGATGACTTATTTAAACACAAACCAAAATTAAACACGAGTCAAAATTGGTCAAAATTTAAGTATCATGAACTAAGAACCAGAGCTAGAAGTAAATGAAATTTTGAAAACGATGAAACAAAATCGATGAAAATCTCGAATCGACTTCGAGCTCTGCTAAGAACAAAGAACCAAGATTCAACAGTTGAGTCAAATGTTCTGTTGTTACATTCAGAATGTCACTTTTGCGAAATATGAAATTTTTAGACTATGATCCATTGTGCTGTATTACTTAGTTGACAATTCCGAACTCCTAATTCTAGTAAACTCCTAATTTCCTTTAGCTGAAGACACTATGTAAAAATATATTTAATCTTACTCTTAAGACCTACGAATAACAAAGGATTGAAGTAATTTGAACTTAAAATCTTTTATACCAAGCTACCAGGCCTAAATTGTAATCAAGTATTGTCATAAATTTGACGTAAGAAGAGCAAGATGTGTAGGAATCTAATTATAAAGCTATACAGCATTTAGTAAAATAAATTATATAAGTTGCATAACCTACAAAACATGAATGACGAGTAAGTATTATAGAATATTTTGAGTATCACGTATACAATTTCTGTCGTTAAGTAACGTAATTTTTGTGGCCATAATCATTATTTGGAAATTCAGTGATCTTATGCATCATTGATATCATGGTTTCCATTAAGAAACTCTGTGGATTTAGTGAAAGAATTTGATGCTTTGTGAGTAGTTGATTAGACATTTGATAACTGAACGACCATTATGAACGTTTTAACTCATTTCATTAAGACTTCAAAAACTAGCTAATTTGTTTACAAATAATTTAAATTCTTATTAATTTCTTTAATCTCAATTAATGAGTAAAGCAGAGATGATCAAATGACTTTACTCAATTTCAATTGCTTCCAACTGAGAACAAAAATTAATTAAGAGAGTTGAAAAATTGATTTTTTTTTCTTTTCAATAAATTTCGTATTGAGGCAAGAGTTATCGATCGAGTGTCAATAATCACCCAATTAATTAATTTATCTCATCCGAGACATGATTAATCCATTCCAATTGAATTTCTCGGTAAATAATACAAAAAAAATTTCTTCGCGCTTTCGTCACTTTTTTCTTCTCTTTTGACGCAATGAGCTACAATGTGTGTATGTTTGTTCTGATCTCAGATGTTTTGTTATCGATTATAATTAATGTTTTATGTTAACAAAAGAGAAAACAAATGCTTTTTTATGAATATTTCGGAAATTGCGAATGAAAAGATTCAGCAAACGGGATGTGGGTGATGAATTATTGTTTATTTTTGTAATTTTATTGAATTGGCTTGTGGGAGAGTTTTTCTGATTATGAGATTAGGAGATATTAGGAAGCAATTTAGATGAAATTGATTTGACGCGAAGAATCAGTGATTTAAAGAAAATTTGCAAAAAGTTATGAAAAGTGAAAATAAAAAAAAATATATTGTGAATTGATGTTTTTGAATGTTCTCATAAAAATCTAAGATCGTTTTGAACCCCAACCAGGGTCAATCGATGCTAGTACAGATATCATGATTTTCTTGAAGAGTTAAACAAATTGTCTCGGTCCCAACATTTAAGGATATTCCCAGAATACTAATCTTTAAACAACCACAAGATCTTCAACTTTAAAAGCTTAGAACAATTCCAACCATTCAAAACTCACATATTTATATTCAAAACAAATTTGATCATCAACAGAAAACATTGTGCCATATTCAGCTCAGTTCCAAATTCTTACTATCTTATTTGTAAATATTTGAATAGCCATGCTTGCTTGTTGTTTCATTTCCATCTATCCAAAAGTAAATAACTCTAGCGCGCCAAATAAAAATTGAAGGTAATTTGATTATCATTGAGCTGAATTACTGATTTATTTTTGTAGGCCTGTACATTGTACAAAGAAGAAACTTTTGAAGATAAGAATATAAGAAGTCATATGTATTGTGTGACACTGGGAGGCTGGTTTGCTTTATTTTTGGTTGTGTTGGTCGGATCGAGTATCTGCTTCTCAAAAATAGATTTCTTTATTAAATTTTAAGATGATTATTAGGTTTTTGTGTATAAATAGCAAAACATGTAGCCAGAGAGGGGATCCAAATCCAAAGGAGTCTAGACTCCAGTCATGAAGTTGTTAAAATATTTCAGCTTTAGCAGAGCTCTTTTTTCGAGGTTTAGAACTCTTTCTTGAATAATTTCTTGCTGTAATCCTGAAAGTAGCACCTAATCTTATCATAAACCACTTCAGACTTCTTAGTGGCATTTTGAATTCTTTTGAATCCCCTTTGACTAAGCTTAAAGTTATCAAAACAAATTCAATGGCATCTCAAAACTTGATAATGATCCAAAGTCGTCCAAAAAAATAAATTGTCAAATATTAACAACGAAACTAAACTAAACCGATTTTCTGCCCAGCAGTAACAATTATTTCACGCAGTTACAGAAACCAATCATTATCATTATTATCAACGATTGTCGATTATTTTTGAGTTTATTATACCATTTTAGTCAATAGATTAAAAATAAATATCACAAGGTCATCGACTGGAGAATTTCATTCCAAACTTATTTTACTTCTTGCCTGCACAACACACCCAAAAAATCGTTATCAGATGAGAAGTTCAAACAAAAGATATATCAAGGTATAGCTTGTAGACATTGAAAATTATTATTGCAGTAAAAATTCAAAATTATTGAAGAATAAATCGAAGAAAATATCTCAAAGGAAAGCCGGAAATTAAGAAAAACTAAGTCGCGAACTGACCTTGCACATCGAAAATCGTCATTTGTAGGCCAAGATAAGTTCTTCCTATTTATTTCATTCCTGTATGTTTACAATTTAATTCTTACGCAAAAAAATGAAAATCTTCATATTTTGTCTCTCACATGTGGGCATGTATGTATGCACACAATCATAAGCTATACCTTCTGCGAGCGGATATTGTCTGAGTATTGTTTGAAACTCAAATCGTGAAATAAAAAGAAATAAAAAATAGAATCGACTGTTCTTTATTGTTTGCGAATTGCTTGTTAGTTCGTATAGTTTTTTAAAAACACTCTCATCACTTGCCATTACTACACAAAAGTCCAGAGTGTAAGCAACGCGGTCTTCAAAAACGAAAATATTAAAATCAAAATTCTAAGAAATTAATTAAAACATAATAATGGAATGTGATAAATTAGTAGAAATTCCCGCTAGTGATTGGATTGAATTACGAGACATATTTTTATTGAATTGGCCAGACAATCATGTAGCATGGCATACGATAAATAATTATGTAAATTGGCACCGAAAACAATCGTACATACGGGACTTAAAAATTTATAGTTTAAATAATTCGTGGCGGAGTGATGGAACTTATGTTGTGGTTGTGAGTAAAACTTGTGGACATAAAATAGCATTATAAGTTGGTTGTGGTTCTTGGATTTTGGACTAAGGCGCATTTTCTCACGTTTGCTAGTTTTTGATCAAAACATGTTATTGTAAACTGGATGTGAATTTTTGTTGTTGTTTTTATCATTCGGGTCGATCGTAAATGACGTCAATTGAATTTTTTGAGCACCTTTTCTACTCGAACTCTCAAAATATATTCAAACAAATAAAGTGACTTTCAGCTTAAGATCTAATCAATTTCTTAAGCATAGACGTCATTTGTGAATGAACTTGCAGTAGAACTTTCGAATGTGTCGCATAGGTGTAGTCGAACTAGTGTGCATAATATTTTGATGTCTGATTATGATTATAAAATTATTGTTGAAGTTTTATTTATAAACAAAAGATGTTGCTGATTCATAATTTATGGTTCAAAACTTCAAACGTCAACGTATGCAGTATGCGGCATTTTAAGGGCTTTAACTCAGAAATCAAAATTGTTTTTATTAATTTTATAACATTCGAAGGAGAGAGGGAGGGGGGGGGGGGGCAAAAGGACACTGTTATCCTCAGCTGCTCCCAAAATAATGCATATCATTTAGCAAGTCATTCAACATCAAAGTCCAAAAATAATTTAATCCACAACACCTCCCACACCAACATAAATCCACACCTTACTAATAAAATTAACGAATTTCCAGGATCGATACCAATTATTCATCTATTCCCTTCAATTATCAAACGACAAATTAAAAAGAGCGCTTAGCTTAATAGATTGGACAAACGGATACTTAGTCAGCTCATTTTTAAGACGTCATCGATCAGCTGTTTTGGACATAATCAGTAGTAAAAAATTAAAAGTTGAGACAGAAAAACTCACGTTTTTGTATTACTTGTCCAAAGAGGAAGTAAAAAAGAAGCATTTGGTGTAAGTTCCATTCATGCATCACATGTATTGAGTCACTAATTAGCATTCTTTCTCTTTTGTGTATTTTCCACAGTGCACCGAATGACATCACACTCAAACCTTTGTCTATAGATGAAGCTGAATATGTGAATAATGAATGGCCTAGCAAATGTTCTGGTTCCGATTTTCTTGTTAAAAGACTCATCGATTGGAATCCAAATATAGGAGCCTTTGACGATAACAATGAACTTATGGGATGGTGCATGAGGCTACAATCTGGTCCACTCGGTGGTCTGCAAGTTAACAAAAAATTTATGCGACGTGGCGTTGGCAGCCTTTGTGTACTTGCGATGTGTAAAATACTTGCCAACATTAATTTAGACACATTCGCTCTGGTCGATGAACTCAATTTCAACTCACAAAATATGTTCGTAAAGCTTGGATTTAAACACACAGATGACGCATACTGGCTCAGAACGAAGCCGACGAATGGTAGCAAAATGAATTGGATTGATCAAGAAATTTATTACTAATGTATGATTTAAGTTTGGGGTTCGTTCATAAATGATGTTAAGTTGAGATTGGTATGAATCTACTTCTAAATCTTACTTTTTATACATAGGGTATATATCTGGAGTATACCAGTATTGTATGGATAGCTATAATCCTAGGGTTAGGTGAAGAAGTAGGCTAATATGAAAATTCCAGCTCTTGGAGTTGTGCTGCACATTTAAAAACATAACTGAAAATCTGGTAATATTGAGGCAGGGAAGGAACCAATAAAATGTTAACATGACATCATTTATGAACAACCCTTTAGATTAGATAAAAAAATTGTTACTTGCACTTTGTTTGCATTTTTCATTATTACAAAAATATTTTTGCGGAAGCAAAATTCACTGCTGTAACGATAATAAAATAACTATATTTTCATACTCACATAAAATGATTTCAATGTCATGTTCATTTCTACTTTTCTCTCTCTTTCGCAATCTCCTCGTCGTTCTCTCATTCTCTTCAGCAAATATTAAACTTTAGTGTCTCGCAAGTCGCGTCTTAAGAATGAAGGAAATTTCGCTCGACAATCTTCAAAAATTCGAGGACATATTCAATGTAGATCGTGAAAAACATATGGTGATTCTGCTTACTATAAAGACTTTTGTCTGTCGTTTTGAGAAATTTCCTGAATTGAGGAACAAAGCAAAATTATTTGCGCTGTCGGACGACTGGGAGAATGATGGATATTTCTTTATGACTGTAAGATATTCTTTGTTAGAACTTCTATGATCTAGATTTTATGGGCTGTATTAATAATTTTTCATTTAAATGCACATTTGACATTTTTTGCAAATTAATGGGAATTAATGTTTTGCTGACTAGGAAGTGGAAAATTATTGATTAATTACGTAATTCACCGGGTGTTCTGAGTATTAAGTTCTCATTTATAACCTCTATGGTGAAGAGGAATAGGATTGAATTATTTTTTTCGTAGAATTCATTTTCTTTGGCACGAGAAAATAGCGAGGAAATTTTCCGGGTTCATTTGCTTAAGTCTGCTGACATTTTTTGGGGAATGAAAGACTTTTAGGCTATGTAGAACGTGCAATATGAGAAGAAAAAGTTTGTAGAACTAAAAGTTGACAAATGATTAATTTTGGCATTCATTTACATTGTGTCGGTCGGGACTTAAATTGTGTTGCTCGAGACTGAACTCTCCTTTTTGAATGAAATTAAATAATTTTTTTTTGGCAAATTTGGAGTTGTGTCAACAAATTTTCGAGAATTCCTCAAATCAAGGCTTAAATGTATATGAAACTTCCTAGTTAAAATTGTTTATTTTCACCGGCTTACTCAATATTAACAGGCTGACCATCTTCTTGGTTTTTCAGAAGACTGTCCTCTATTTTTATCATAGGATAACATTAGAGGAACTAGTAGACATTAGAGATGCTCCAAATTTTCTTAAAATATGTCTTGTAGCCCTAAATATAGCACAATAATTAAAATTCCTACATGACTGTTTATACCAAGAAAATATAATTTTAATGAAATGAAGTGTCGGATATCAGCTTACTCAAAACAATTTCATATGTAAACAGTTTTAGATTGGCATATTTTTTACTGCGCTTAAATTCCATGACTTTCGCAAACTAAGTACAATTGAGTAAGTAGACACAAAATTTGTTGAGGTGGTCGCATAATTTTTCAATTGACAAAATTCTATTTTTGGCTTTAAATAAGCGTGACAGTTTATTACACTTAGCTTAAAATATATTGTCAACTATAGAAAAATAGGTCGAACAGGAGAATGGGTGCAAAAATGTTGAGAATGGAATAAAGCAATAAAGAACCAATTAGGATTGTTTTTGAGAAATTTATGATTGATTGCTTAGGGGCCATTCACTTATTACGTAACGCTTTTAGGGGGGGAGGGGGGTCTAAGATTTGGTTACGGTTCAAACAAGGAAATTTTTTTTTTCATACAAATTTTGTTACGAGGGGGGGGGGGGTCTAAAAAGTCATTTTTTCGCGTTACGTAATAAGTGAACAGCCCCTTATGAATCTCCTTAGGAGCGTAGCCAGGAATTTTTGGAGTGACGATTTGATTTGGATTTTATTTCTTTAAAAACTCGATAAAAAGGGGTTTAGAAATCCGTAATCTTCGTACAGATTTGAAGAGCAAAGATTTCTTTAGATGGGGTTCTGGAAATCATGTTTGAGCAACCTTATAGACGCCTTTGAGAAAATTCTTTTTAATCCATCCTGTCAGTTTAAATGCATTTTTATCATTTTGCATACATCTAATAGACTAAAGATTTGAATATAATTTACTTCACCTAATCACCTAAAACCCCTAGTACTTACACCTTTAATTACTGAGTATAAATCAAATTCAGACACGTGTACTCGATATATGCCTTCAAACTTTCTTTCTTGCAGTCTTCTCTCATTTACTAATAATACTCTCAATTTTTTCTTAATATTCTTCCCCACTAAGTTTGTGATCTGGACGGAGCACTTTGTTTTCTTCGATTCCATCAATGACTCAACAGATGTTTTGAAAAATGCTTTACGATCCTTGGACTACAATAATTTAATGTGTTTGTTTTCAATCAGAAATGAATTTCATGACATGGTTTGCGAGTTACGCGATGAACTTGGTTTAAAGCTGCATATTGATGCTGACACGGCATGCTTCTATCTTCCAATGGCTGAATCATTAGCTTTAAAGTATGAGATGCCTCCAAATCTTCATATTAAGGAACTATCAGAAGATAATGTCGAAAAAATAAATTCCGTTTGGCCACATCGATCTGAAGGATCAGAAAGCTTTATTTCATATTCCATCAAATTTCATTTGAACGTTGGATTGTATGATAATGATAACAATCTCGTTGCATGGTGTCTTCGCTATGATAATGGAGCCTTAGGAGTACTTCAAACGGATTCAAACTATTTACGAAAGGGACTTGGAAGTGTTGTTGTTAAAATTTTATCTAAGAAGATTTCGGAAGAGTTTCAATGTGATAATATTGCTTTAGTTGTACAAGAGAATGTAAAGTCGATTAATTTGTTCAATAAGTTGGGATTTAAGAAATTGGAATCGCACACTTGGTATAATTTGATTAGAGCGTAGATTATTAAGAACCATAAGGAAATAAGGAATTATTTTGAAACACAATAGAACGAACAAATTCTTTCTTTAAACTGTTACAAAATTACACCCCCCCCCCCTTCACTCTTAAAGAGTTAACCATTAGCCAATTTGTAATTTAAAATTTTAACAGCTCTTCAAAAATTTAAAAATTTGAAGGGGTATACAACTAAGCAATAATTTAATAACAAAATCGTTGTTTTAAGTCCTTTAATTAATAGAAACGTGTTTTGTTTGAAGAATTATTATATTTAATAGTTGAAGACAAATTTTTTTTCGAGCAATCCTAAAGTAATATTGTTAAAAAAAAGATTCTTTAAAACCAAACCAATTAATACAATTCAATTTTTTCAATCAACATCATCCATTTGTGTATTAAATTTAAAATTGGCTTATAGAGCAGAACAATTAAATTGATCTTAAAATTTATTAAAAAGGACTTTATATTAATAGATTAATAAAGATAATTAAGAAGAACAATTAAATTGAAATAAAATTTAAGAATTGATCTTTCAATCAGACAGTTGTCAACTCGATCATCACCGAGTCAATTAAAACAACCAATGAACTATCTCCTCAATCAATCATATTAAAAGACAAATCAGATGTTTCATTTATTATTGAAAAATCACTTCATTTTATCAATCTTGTTATCGCGAACAATTTGCAATCTATGAAATAATTCAAGTTTTTTATAAGATAAGAAAATTTCTCATTGTTTCTCATATTCAACAGCGTTTCTAATTTTCTAAGTTTCTCATTTTCTCGCAACAACTTGTTAGTAGCTTTCTTGAATTCAAAGTGTAAACATGTCTGATTCACTAGTTGAAGTTTCAACAGAGTCTTTGCCAATTTTAAGAGATGCCTATAAAGTAAATTGGCCAGAGCACATAGTCGCATATAGTTTTCTAGATAAAATGATTAAAAGATTTAAAGAACGTCCAGAACAAAGAGAAATCGTAAAAATTTATTCTATTGGTGAGAAATTAGAACAAGATGCAACGTTCGTTGCTGTCACGGTGAGAGAATTTGATGAATTGTGAGAGAAGAGAAATTTTCATAATTTACAATGTTTTCAGGGCAACGAGAGCGTTTTGCTTGCAACATTGGATTTAACTTTCGAGCGCTTAAACATTGGATTAAAGTGCTTAAACTTTGATGTGAGGAAAGTTTTTCTTTGCGTACGAGAAATTTATCGTGATACATTTACTGAGTTTATTAAAAGTCGGGATTTAAAAATTTTATTTGATGATGCAACGATCATGGTTCATATGAAGCATGAAGATGCAATTAATCTCCAATATGAAATTCCTGAAGGTCTAGTGATACGAAGTCTCTCAACATCAAATGCTGATCATATCAATTCAATATGGCCACACAGATCACCAGGATCTGAAAAATTCATTGAGTATTGCATTGAAATGAATCTTTCTGTTGGACTTTATGATCAAGTTACTGGAGAACTTCTGGCATGGTGTCTTGAGCACGACAATGGAAATCTATTAGCACTTCAAGTTGATCGAAATCATTTGAGGAAAGGATATGCTACCATAGTTACAAAAGCCATTACTAAACTTATTGCACAAGAAAGAGGATTTGATGTTCATACAAATATAGTTGTTGCCAATTTCAAGTCATTGGGATTATTTGAGAAATTATCTTTTAACAAAATTGATAAGAACTTTTGGACTGGTGTTGTTAACAAATGAATAAATTATGAATATGTGATATATTAAAATTGTTCTTATTTTATAAGTCATTGAAATTGTTTGATAAACTTTCATTCAAGAACATCGATACGAATTCATGAATTGTAGTCAAAAAAGGAATTAAAATGTTGTTCGATGTAACCAAATGGGTTTGAACGAGTTTAAGTTTTCATTCAAACTTTGCAAAAATATACTAAATCTCAAAAAACACGGTATTCGACATAATAGGCAATTTTTGACCCACTGAACAATCTTATCTTATTAACGTCTGTTATCAGTAGTCATACTTATTAAAGCAGTTCAGTTTTTCATTAAATGTCAAAGTGCAAGCATGCCAAACACAGAAAATTGTCTTGTCGAGATTCCAGTTGAATACCTTTCACAGTTCAGAGATGCTTATAAAATCAATTGGCCAGAGCACATACTGGCTTTCAGTTTTCTTGATAAAATGATTAAAAGATTTAAGGAACGACCAGAACAAAGAGAAATTGTAAAAATTTATTCTGTTAATGGGAAATTAGAAGAAGATGCAACATTCATTGCTGTTGTTGTAAGTCAAGATTGTAGATATACTTAACGTCTTCATTAACATCAATTAATTCATAGCAAGACTACACAGTTGTAGTCGCGACTCTAGATTTGTCTTTCAATCGATTATCTAGAGGACTGAAAGGACTTAATTTTAAAACAGTCAAGAAGTTTTCTGGTCTTCGAGAAATTTACAAAACTGCAGTACTTGAATTCATCAAAAATGAAGGTTTGATCACCTTAGTTCATAAGGATATGATAATGGTCCACATGAACTGCGAAGATGCTAAAAAACTTAAATATGAAGTTCCTAAAGGGCTTGTAATTCGAGAATTAAACAATTCTGATATCAACAAAGTTAATTCAGTATGGCCAAATAGATACAATGGATCAGAGAAACTCCTTTCATACTGCATCGATACAAACTTCTCTCTTGGTTTGTTTGATAAAAAATCTGGAGAATTGCTAGCTTGGTGCCTTGAAAATGATGTCAACAGTTTGTTCGTTCTTCAAGTCGATGAGAATCATTTGAGGAAAGGATATGCGACAATTATAACAAAAGCTTTGAGTAAATTAATAGCAGATGAAAGAGGATTGGATATTAATGCAAATATAATATGCTCTAATGTTAAGTCTATGGGATTGTTTGAAAAACTTTCTTTTAAAGTGATTGATAATAATTCTTTTGTTATTGTGAGAAATTAAAGAACATGTTTTATGGGCATGTTTAAATTATGTATTTTAGACCTTTTTGTCTAGCTTCTGGTTTATCTATCATGGACACAGGTTTGATTTAATTTCAGTCAGTTAAAAGCTGGCAACTGTTTTAATTTGGAATCTCTCATTTTAAAGGACAGAAGTGATTCTGAGGCTGTTTAACATTCTAACAAGGAAAAGAACAAGACGAAAAATTCTTATCGTTTCAATCAGTGTTGCATTCTGGCCATTTGTCTGAATCAGATAAATTCTGAGACAGAAATTTCTTCATAAAGATCGATTCTATATGAAGATAGAAAATCTAATCTACACAAAGATTATTTCTACATAAAGATTCGATGTAGATGTCTATAATTCTACATTCTTCTCTGATGTAGACCTGGAAAAAATGTAGAATTGTAGACATCTACATCGAATCTTTATGTAGACAGAATCATTATGTAGAAATAATCTTTGTGTAGATTAGATTTTCTATCTTCATGTAGAATCGATCTTTATGAAGAAAGTTTCTTAGCTAGACAAAAACTATTGAAGAATCTACATTCTTCATCTAGTGTAGACATCTACATTTGCAACACTGGTTTCAATATTTCCTATCACAATTTTTCTCATCATGTTATTTTCCTCTTGAATTCCAAAATATTTTTGGCGTCAAATTGTTAAAATTCTTAAAAATGTGCTCTAAAAATGCCAACAGTAAGTGACTACCAGGTCAACGACTTGATAAATTGAATTTTGTAATGTCATTCAAGAAAAAGTGCTCAATATCAAGCTTTTTTATGCTTTACAGACAAAACTTTGAAGGAAATCAATTTCAACTTCCACAGATTCTCAAACATTTTCAGTTTAAATTTTCAAATATTATTTGACTGTTACACAAAAAATCTAATTAAAGAATTAATTAATTAAAACCACGACAGCGTAATTAAGAAAACATTCATCAGCAATGCACTTTTCATTCTCCCCAATTAAATCTTTTTTACATTAAAAAATAACCTTTAGTATTTCATCACTTTCTAAAGCTGTGCCACAATGTCATATCCCACAAAATCTATAATTAATAGCATTCAATTTTCCCTTGTGATGCACGATACATGCATTAGAACTTTTTTGCAAATTATTCATTAGCAACTACAATAACATCTTTGCAACATCTTGCCTTGACAATCAATTTGGTTTCCTCCTTCCATGTCCTTGACCTTAATTTTCATGTTTTTCTTTTACGGGTAAATTTAAATGTTTAATCGGACGAAAAATGCACAATTTTTTAATACGTCATGTCGGAAGAAATTTTACGACGTAGATGGATTCAGTCAGTCGAAACAGGAGGAATATTTAATGAGTAGCACATCAAAATTGTTTTTTGTTAATAATCAATAATTTCAGGATCACATTAAGCATCGATATGGAAAGTCGAAAATGGAAATGATTCTGGTATATAACGTGGTCAGTTATGATTGATCATAGCGCAATTTTTATGATTTCTAGATTAACTGTCACAAACAATTTGAAATATAACGTTCGTAATAATTTTAAAATTTGAAAACACGAGACAACGTTTAGCCAAAAAGACAAACAGACAGAAAAAAATCATTTAATTCTTTCTATAAAAATAAGCTAATAAGCCAACAAGGAGCAATTCTGGCACCGACTCTATGAGAGAAAATCTCAATCTTTTACGTAGTTTCGCGTTTTATTTTTGTACAAAAAATATAAATGACGAGTAAAATAAATATATTATTGATAAATTGAACTCGTTATGACATGACATGAATAAATAACAAGGAGACACTTTACATCACTTTATAATAATAAAATTGATTGTCCTTTGAAAACTTTTGTACAGTGTTGTTATGTGATGACACACTCGTGTGTGGATCACTCACATGCCATCGCGCAATTAAAACATGATAGTTATGTGCACTTTTGTGATTGCATGATGGAATTTAGCTGGATAGTTTAGGATTTTTAAATTAATCTTGTAAGTTGTATGCTATACATAATAGTAGGAAAGTTATCTAGTAATGAAATGAGGCCAAGGATTTCCTATATTAAGCCTTTTTCGAGACAGAAAGATAAACAAAGCAAAATGTTATCAAAGCTGCTAAAATAAGTCTATTATCATACCTTTTTCAACGTGTAGTTACGCATGAAAATAATTTTTTAAGTTTTTTAAATTTACTAAGTTTGACTTGCAAAGAGTTTTAAAAAATTATTTATAAAGGTTATGAATAAATTTCTAGATTTAACTAGACCAAAGTAATATTCTTTGCAAGTTCTCATTCTAAAGATTCATACAACACTCACGAATCTAGGCTATGTTCTCAACTTAATCCTTAAAAGTTACCAAACAACCTACTAGGATTTTAAACAATAAATTTTAATCTTTTTTAAGCGTTTTAAATGCCGTTAAGTAATATTATAAATGGATTATTTGATACATAACCATGAATTGTAAACATTGTAATAGAGTTAATATGTTGGATTTTATTTTAAAGCTAGGTCAGTTACGCATCGTTCAAACAAAGGCTATACATCTTTTAATTTTATCTTGATTGTTTTCGTTTTGTCCCGATTTCAATCCTTAATCTAATGTGGGACAGTTCCATCTAAATTCAACTATTCGTAAAAGATGTTCAAATTTTGATGTTATTTTTTTAAATTAAGATTTTGTGAAAGGAGTTCCTAATCTTAATTTTAGAATTGGCTGATGTCACTTATGAACTTTCTCTAAAGAATTATAAAGAATTTTGTAAAAATAAACACTTTAAAGACATTTCAATCAAAACTGTAGCTAATGTGATTTCTAAAAAGTCCAAATCCTTTCAAATTGCAATAAAAGTCACTCCACTATTAAGTCACAAAAACATCAACAACTCTGCCAAATGCCAAGTTTGATAAAAAATCATCAGTAATTCATAATAAAATCACAAGTTTGCACTCAAATCCATTGCAAATTCGTTGCTTAATTTAAAAGAAAAATAAAAAATCGTCCATCCGATAAATAAATCCATGCATGAGCTACGTAAAGCCTTTCAACAAAGAATCACAAGACAGAATTTTAAATGGATCAAAAAAATTTATATTTTTATATAATCACAACAACTTCTTAATACTATTTTTAAATGCTTGTGTGGAAAACTGAAGTCATATCAAAAGCGAATCCAATTAGCAACTAAATGAGTGCTAAATAATTTCAGATCGGAAGTCACAAGTAATGACTTAGTCAGTCATATATCATCACATGTTCTGACGATATTGACATTGAAATTGCCAAGGTTTTCAGAAGAAATTGTTAAAGGATGGCTGAATTGATTTTTGCGTTGTTATTTGTTGACGAGAAATGGAGCATGACAAGTGAGAATGTGTTGGTGGCAGTGGCTGTGATGATTTACTTTTCTGTTGATCTTCGTTCTTGAAAATGAGTTTGTGGGAAAATTTGATGTCAGGAGAATACATTTCTTGGACTTATTGAACGTTGTTAATGTCAAGTAATTCTTAAAGATGAATAAGATGAAGTTTAGGAAGTTGTGTCCATAGTTTTGATATTTAAAGTTGGTTTCATGATTGCAGTTTGTCTAGAACTTAAATGCTTATTGATAAAATTGAGTTAAGTTGGATGTACTCAAGGGTGTTTTTTGAACAGTGTCTGATTCTTGAATTGAACTTCCTTTACATTAACATCTGAATCGACCACTTTTTCTTACGAAATCCTTCTCTTGGCAAAAACATTAATGTGAATACATAAAGAATAGAAAATATCAAAACGGATCAAAACAAGTCACAAGAACAATATCAATTCTGAGGATATCAGATCTTATTACAATTACATCTAAAGAGATGTTTTCTTCATTATTTATTATTGTATAATTTATATTCATCTTGTTTTTCTCGAGAATTTCTTAAATTTCATAGAAAATTATAAGCAATCAGTAAGTAACCAAAAAGGACATATTAATTAAAATCAGAATAATATATCGGAGAATTCAATTGATTATTAGATCCTTGATGATGTAAATAAAGTTAATTGATTTCTCAGATTTCATATATTTATAGTCTTTTGAGGTTGAAGAATATGATTTAAATTTAGTTTACATTAAGATTAACTAGGATCTAGATTTTAAGGATGGTGGCGGAGAATACAACCTTGCTTCCCCTGCTCTAGAGCTACCGAAATACCATAAAAAGATATTAACATTATTTGATTATAAGCAGTCCACGGACATATCAAAACACTTCAGAAAATTGAATCTGATAGAATTATTTGAGTTCAATTCATTTTGGACCTATGGCAGTTCCAGTTCGATCTCGTACCTGAACATCTCCAAATGTTCAAAAATATATGTAACTAGTGTAGTACCCCGTCAAGCATGACGGGCATTTTTTCTTCTTTTGAAACAGTAAAATTTATATTACGAAATTTATATTACATAAACGATTAATTTCAATTTTATTTTCAAACTTTAAACAGTTTAGATGTTAAAAATTTCTTTATAAACAACATTTTGAGTGAAAATTTTATCATTTTTAAGAAGCTTTCCTTGATATACACCTTGAGCAATGAATATTTTAATGTTATTTTGACTTTCCAAATTAGCACGTCGTTTTTCAATCAATTGCTCTTCCGTTAGTAATGAACTTTTCTGCCTCTTGCGATTTCTATCTAGTTCGCGCTTCCTATTTAGTTCCTCTTCATTAAAACTTCTCTTGTTTCCCATTCTAATTTAAAAAGATATTATGATTAAAATAATATTAATTTTTTTTAATAATGCAACTTACATAAATGGTTAATTTTATAAGCAATTCAAGAAACAAAGAACTGAATTGATCCGTTAAAAAAGAATTTTTGTCTAAAATTTTTGAAATTTAATATTTTGATGTAAATTAAAATGAATTAAATGATCTTACCTGCAAAAATAATGCCGAAACAAAAGATTGGTTATTGATTTAGTACACTATTAGCAATGGTCTAATTGTTTGTCTAAAACGTCATGAAATCAAAAAAAAAGAGTTAAACACTATTTACTGAAAAATTAGGGAGAAAGAAACCCCTTTCTTAAAGGGTTTAAATGTGAAAAATTCAAAAATACATACAAAATTGCATTAAGTTTAGTAATTTTTTCAAGGATTTTCCAAAATGGCGGGAAAATTCAATTATGTTAAGTATTTTTTTCATGGATTTTCCAAAATGGCGGGAAAATTAAGTACAGAAAAGGAGTTGCTTACGTGGATTATCGTCTTGTCAACTCAAGTGACGAAGAGTGAAAGAACTAAAAGTGAAAAAATTTTGCAGAAAATCCTGTGTCAATTATGTTAAGTATTTTTTTCATGGATTTTCAAAAATGGCGGCAAAATTCAATTATGTTAAGTATTTTTTTCATGGATTTTCCAAAATGGCGGGAAAATTAAGTACAGAAAAGGAGTTGCTTACGTGGATTATCGTCTTGTCAACTCAAGTGACGAAGAGTGAAAGAACTAAAAATGAAAAAATTTTGCAGAAAATCCTGTGTCAATTATGTTAAGTATTTTTTTCATGGATTTTCAAAAATGGCGGCAAAATTCAATTATGTTAAGTATTTTTTTCATGGATTTTCCAAAATGGCGGCAAAATTCAATTATGTTAAGTATTTTTTTCATGGATTTTCCAAAATGGCGACAAAATTCAATTATGTTAAGTATTTTTTTCATGGATTTTCCAAAATATTAAGATACAGATTTTGCAGAAAATCCTGTGTCAATTATGTTAAGTATTTTTTTCATGGATTTTCCAAAATGGCGGCAAAATTCAATTATGTTAAGTATTTTTTTCATGGATTTTCCAAAATGGCGGCAAAATTCAATTATGTTAAGTATTTTTTTCATGGATTTTCCAAAATGGCGGGAAAATTAAGTACAGAAAAGGAGTTGCTTACGTGGATTATCGTCTTGTCAACTCAAGTGACGAAGAGTGAAAGAACTAAAAGTGAAAAAATTTTGCAGAAAATCCTGTGTCAATTATGTTAAGTATTTTTTTCATGGATTTTCCAAAATGGCGGCAAAATTAAATTATGTTAAGTATTTTTTTCATGGATTTTCCAAAATGGCGGCAAAATTCAATTATGTTAAGTATTTTTTTCATGGATTTTCCAAAATGGCGACAAAATTCAATTATGTTAAGTATTTTTTTCATGGATTTTCCAAAATATTAAGATACAGTAACATCCAGTAGAAAAATGAGCATCCAGTACCAAAATACAGTCAAACTCAAAACAGTAAATAAGAATCTCAGTTAATGAAGAAAAAAAATCTCAGGTAGGAAAAAGAACATAAACTGTTTTGAAATTCTCAATAACAAAAAATTTTGGAAAAAATGGGTGGCTGAGAGCAAACGATTAAAAAAGTGGGCGTGGCTTAGAGCGGAATGACAGAAAGAAAGAAAGAAAGAAAAATGAAGGTTTTTATATTTATAATTTACAGAGCTGATAAAGTAAATAAAATGTAATTTTGCGGCAGGGTTCTATACAATTCCTCAAAGCTTAGTAGTAAGAGTGTGTGACTAGAAATTGTAAGACTTCAGATTCAACTCCTACTCGATACAAGATTATGAACAGGTTACTTTTGTTGTTAAATATAAAATCTAAATTCTGTACTAAGACAAGTCTTCAGTGACCCTCCACTTCTTCTTAAACATCATCATCAATTACTCAATCCTAAAATTGTCATATCATATTGTAGAAATCAGATTATTAATCTTACCAAATCAACTCTTTAATTGTCAGATCTACCGGAATTTCACCAGACTAGTTTAATTACACCTTAGCCTTAAAAATCATGATTAATCAATTTTAATTCTAGCAAATTTTATTGCGACGTGTCTTTTTTTTCTCCTTTTAAATTTATCAAATTGAATCCCTTAATCCGAAATAATATAATTTGTATTTTTTAATCAAAAAACCCGATGAGCCGAGTGATGAGCTTAAAATCCCGATCCACGTTTTGATGATAATAATGAAAACATTATCGATAACAGCCCGTTGCTTCTCCAAAGAGTCATAAGACAGAATCAGCGTCGATAACAGATAACTGATAACAATCATAGCTGTAAATAAAGTCAAAGTCAATGGCTATGAATGGACTTCCGATAAAATAAATATAATGAAAAATGGATAAAAATAATCTTTACAACGTGACTAAAAAGTGTTTAATGAAAAAGTCATTAACGTTCATTTTTAAGTTTGCTGAAAATTTTGCTTTATCAAAAATTGCTATGGGTAAATAAGTCCACGAAATACTGATTGATGACTTTTTGTGCAGTGGAGTATACTGACTCTGTGTCCTCAAAATACATGCATCGGATGTTTCGTGATGTGTGTTGAGGATTAGAATTTAAAACGAAATTTATGAAGGGTAATGAGTGTCAACTTAGTTGTGGTTGTTGTTATTGAACTTCTATGCTGTTTTAAATTTCTGATATTGAAGATTTTAGACTTTAAGGGTTGTCGATTGGGGAAGGTTAAGGAGTCAAAACACATATTGCTACAACTTGCTAGTATTTAGACTAAAAGAGGTAAATATAAGGAAGAGTTGCGACGACAGGTACCTGTCACAGGCACAAGTGACAGGTCCTGTCAAAAGATCACAGGTGGGCTGTTTTCGTTGACCTGTGACAGATTGCAACTCTGATTTAAGGGAAGAGTGCGGTACTGATGAAATGATCAAAAATAATCAAAAATGGTCAATAATGATCAAAAAATAGTCAAAATGTAGTTTATCAGTTCCGTACCCATGGTTTAATGAGAGGAGAGATGCCATTTTGATTGAGCCATCCAAAAAAGCGAACGTAAAATATCTAAATGACTTCTCTCACAATCTCAGTTTATTTAAAAATCTAAAAACCTTAAATTAAGAGTGTCCACACCTGATTTTTACATTTTTTATTGCTATTGACATACACCCATTAATTTCTTTAAAAAATCATAATTTTTATATAATCTATTTTAAAAGGATCCTTATTCACATTCCTCTACCTAAAATTATGGTTTTCTAAAATAAAAGGGAAGAAAAATGCAAACGTTTCTCAAACATTTCTTGTTCTTAGTACTAAGAATTTAGAGAATACCAAAAGGTTCTGGGTTTAATTGGTTAAAAAATGGTAAGAAAAATTCTACCTGCTTGTCAAAAAGGTCAAAGTCCAAGAATTTTAATTGTGAGGATTTAAAAAACTCCTTTTAGCTGTTTTTATAATAAAAATGGTTGATTTGGCTTCAATTTGACTGAATGTGTATGGATGTGAACTCAAAACAATAATTTAATTAAATTTATGGGTGAAATTGTAGTTGAACCTGCATTTAGCATAGCAAATAGGCCTATAGTCTCACAAAAAGTATTTAAATTATCGCCAAAATATAATTTGACCTAAATAAAGTCCAAAAAAATTTCCTCGTCCTGCGTGGAAGTCATAGTGATGAAAATTTGCATTATCAACTCACAAACATTGTTTACATCATACACATACATACATTCTTATGCATTTCTGCCAACTACTCAGTCATATGTTCGTTTGCTTTGTTTGCAAACTAGAGCATGCGCCAACACGTCCACCGGTGTAAATGTTCGTGTTTTTTTCTTCTTTCCTGATTCTTGAGCTCAGTTTTTCACTACAATCGGTTTTGATTCTTTCAACTCGCTAGACGTGTAATTTACGCTCCCATTTTTTCAACAGAAAAAAAATATTGAAAAAATTTATTTTTTCTTTTATTCTTTGAAATAGCAAAAAAAAGTGGCGGAAAAGGAGAAAATTTTCACTCGACAAAAACGCCCAGAAAATGAATAAGTGTTACCTTAAAATTAAAAAATAAATTATCAAGTGCAATTTTAAGTTTGATTTAAAAATTTTCATTTCGTGAAGTTTTTTTCTTCAATTTTTATTCAAAAAAAAAAATCTTTTAATTTCGTGTGAGACCGAAAATTGATTATTTTTCGCAACATACAAACCAAATGAGAGAAGCAGCAAGGCATCATAATTAAGCTTCAGCATTTTTAACAAAAAGTCGAGACATCAAGGGAAATTTTGCTTCAAGACGAAAAAATTTTCAGCAACAAAAAAAAATATTTTTTTAAAAAAGTCAATAAGGAAATAAATACGACGACATAGCTTTTCTGGCTTCATTTGCCATTTATAAAACAAGGAGCGATTATCTGCGATTGCATAACCACATCATATTTTACACAGCAGTAAAATAATTTCATATAAGAGGAGCGCGACAGTGCCGAGAAATGTATGTATATATAGATTTATTTTTTTTTCATAGAATTTAAAAGAGCGCAACCAGCGCATATTCATAAATATTTTTGTGTGTGACGAGATTCTCGGACGTCTTTATTTCTGTATGAAAAAATTATTAAGGCATTAAAATCAATATGGCAAATGAGAGATTAAATAGAGAGAAAAAAAATTGAGAATATTCCAAGTTGAAGGACATTTTATGTCGATTCCTTTGTTCAGTTAAGAGTAAAGCTTTTCAATTCTAAACTTGAGGATGTTCTTGAAACTTTTTTGTTTGCTTCGAGTTTATAATTTTTGGAAAACTTGGAAGGTTTTAGCTGTTGTTTGCTGTTTGAAGGAGGGTGCATCAATTTTTTGGGTACCAATAATGTTACTAGCTTTTGGATTTCCGATGTCTCGGTTTTGATGATCCTGAAATTGATTTTTTGGATCTAGATTGATTCATAATTATTTGGATCTTCCTTAGATATACTGATAATGTATTTCTTAGAATTTAGTCTTAATTTTAAGCAAGCAGATGGTCTAGTGCCATCTATTAGCAACTGTTTAATTCAAAAATGATATTGGTACCCAAAAGTTTGAAAGAACCTAATTAAATGGCTTGTCGCATATGTCAACAATCAGCAAAAAGTCACTTAATTATAAACAATCTACTGCCAACTCCTCCTTTGTCTTACGAGCAAGATTTAGCTTCCTTAATTCAAAAAACTCTCCTATAACTTCCTCTATCGGTTATCATACCTTGAATAACTGAATCTCATCATAAACTTCCTCAAACACTAAGAAGACAAGACTCTTTTTTCAATCGAGTATAATCAAACTTGCCAAGTTCAAATTGCCTATACTTGTAACTGTAAACATGAAAAGAGATTAAAAAGAAAATTTTCCAACTTTTTAAAAGGAAAATTAAGGAAAAATTTATCACAATGGCAGAAATTCTTTTCTTTTTGTTTTCCAATTCCAATCTCAATTGTTTTTTTGTTGTCGTATCTTCTTGCGCATAGAGGAAGGAATTAATTTTCATTGCATGTTTGAGTATCATGTGAAGTTTAATCGAGTGTTTAACAATTGATATGATTCTAAAACTATGTATTTATGCTTTACATTCAAATCTGAATGGTTATTCTGGAAGACAATGAATGTTGATGCTGTTGCAGGTTATTTAGAGTTGATATTCATAAATTTTTGAAGGATGAGAGATTTTGGATGTGCGATATTCTTTAAATTTATTTTTGGAATGTGGGTGTTTTGTGATTGAGCCTTAAAAAGTGCTAAAGATGAAAGATGAGCTTGATAAATTATTATTATTATTATTATTATTTATTATTATACTTTCTCTTGTTTTAAAGGAAAAAGCCCATAAATTGCACTACATATTAATTCTATTTATATGTTATATGTTTATTCAAGTTGGTATTCACCAAGTTTTTGTAAAATATAGCAATTTTATAAATTATCAATTTTATCAATAAAGGCTACAAAGCTTTTAAATGAGAAAAAAAAACATATCAGTGACAATTGTACAGGCATAAAAAACCTTTACATAATTACATAAAGATAATGAGTTTCAATGATTAAAATAAAATCTTTAAAGAAACTCATAAAAAGGGGATTTTTTATTTATTTATTAGATAATTCTGTCAAAAATTTGTTAAAAGTCTCAAAGGTCGAGTGGCTAAAGTTAATAGTGTTCTATATTAGAACGTCGGTTCGATTCCTTTTAAAGTTCTATCAACAAACGATTAAAGTAAAATTACTTTAATTTTTAAAATCAAATCTAAAGTTATAAATGTTTCCATTTGTGACAATGTATAAACGAACTGCGTGACTTAAGCTATTTCTATTCACAAAAAGACAACTTTTAAAGAAAACTCAGCAATAAAAATTCAATTTAAAATTTAGCTCAGTGTCAATGATTTAAAACAATACTAAAAACTTTAAATGCTTCAAAACCTTTTTAAACTTTATGAACTCTAAATGGATTCGTGATTTGAAGCCTTACTTTAAAGCTGCTTTTAAAGTTCTTTAATAGCTGCTTCATGCTTCATCTATTCTGTATAATGAATTTTTAATTAAATTTTAATGAACTTGCTTCAAAGGAAAAATTTTTTACATTTATTATTATTCCATGGAAAATAGAATGGAACTGATAGCAGATGGCCCAAGCCTGTTAAATAAAAGATAGCAGAGTTTATGGAAAATTTTTAAAAAACTTTTTATGAATCACATCTGAGTTTCCTACATATGTGTATTTACTAAATACGTCATTGTATGTCTATCTATATTCAATTCAAAACCGATATCAGTCACCGAACACTCACACCTAAACATACAAACATTTCCAGTACGATTCGGTAAATAAAAATATGTCTGGTAATCCTTTAAGTAAAATAATGTTGAATTTTTTTTTTTTTTTTTTGATAATTTTCGCTCTTTTTTATCAATTTTGATAAGCAAGGAAATCAATCAAGATAGAAAAAAATTAATTTTGTCTTTTTATGTGACATAATGATTGATTTATGTAGTGAAATGTTGAAGGTTGTGAGTTTTTAAAGGAGTTGGTATATTGAGGAAGGTCTGCAATGTTATTATGGAGTTGTATAATGCTGTATTTAAACATAAATTTGAAGGTTATTGAACTAGTTCTCACAGAAAATGTATTGATCCAAAAGTTTTGTGATAAAACTAGTGAATGTGCTACAAGTCATTCGTACTTGCTGCTCTGTTTAGTTTGATGACGTATTTGTACGTTTTAGGATAATAGCTTGGTCTGAGAGAGTGATTGGTTGTTTAAAAATTCCATTGCTAGCAGAATTTTTTTGAATTGAATTAAAACAAGTAATTAAGTATGATTCATAAAAAGTGAAAAATTGAAGAAAATGAATTGATTTGGAATTATTCCTATTCTTAATGATACAGCACTCATTTCATTAGTCTATATTTTGTCCAATATTTTGATATATGCTACGCCTTATCCTGAATCTTATAATATGCTTCATCCAACATTGTCTTACACAAATCCGTTCACAAATCGAGCTGAAGGCACTGCAATCCGTTCTATACTTTTTAATATACCTTATTTAATATTCTATACTATTTAGTCATACACTATGTATTACATAAACTTACTTCATTAAATTCAAAACCCATCAAACGAAAAGATTTTTCACCGCGATAAGCACAAAAAACTCATTCTTTATGCAATGATGGAAAGTTGGTTGATTCATCAGCTGATTCATTTTCTTTCCATGCTGAATGGAAACATTTTCCATAACCTTTTTTTCCCATCACGTACACTTATTTCCCATTGAGAGATATCTTCAACATCTTTAAAGAATAATTTTCATGATAAGCTTCTTAAAGGAATAAAAAGGCGTTTTATGTTTTATTTTTAAAGCTTTTGTTGGTTCTGAACTTTGAAGATTAGGATTTTATTTATCAAAAATTTGTAAACAAGATTGTTTGAAGGGTTCAATGTGCCGTAAGCATGTCTTTATGGGGATATGTGTTTTCAAAAATTTTGTGTCTATTAATTGATGTGTGGCTTTGTTGACTATTTAAAAATAAATTGAACTCAGTGAGAATCGAACTTGCGTTGTATGAACTGGATGGACTATGGTTCTTTTTGGGTAGTAATTCATATAATTTTTCTATTGAAATCAGGGGCTTAGTTGAAAACACGAATTTCCTTCGGGAGGGTCCTTCTTTCATTTTTAGAAAACCTAGTTAAAAATCAATTAACTTTATGGTAATTCGTTCCTTAAATTATCTTAGATTGAATACAAATGATACAAAAATGTTCATTAAAGCAATAAAACTCATGACATCACTCCGCTTTAAATTCTATCAACAAAATCTACTTCTCGATACACAAAATTTATTTCTAATGAACATTATCTAATAATGATGTCAATGGCACCCGTGAATGTTTATATTTACAAACTACCTCGCACATTTCATCAACAAAAAGAGGAAAAGAGCTTAAAAAATTGGCAATCGCCGTTGCATCGACAATATTTTCCATTCGATAAAAAAAGAATTTTAAATGTGAAGAAGAAAATCTTAAAAATATATTCTGACATGTTAGCTCGTGGCTACTATAAAATATTCGTGTTTAGTCTATTAATTGCGTAGCTAAAATTTTAAAAAAAATTGTGACACTTAAAATTAATTTTTTAATTAAATATGTAAAGTGCGAAAGTACTAATTGGATGTTCTAGAGAAATCGAAGTGGCATTAAAATTTCATTAACAGTCATTCACATTTCATTAGTAATTAGTCGATAATTCTTTTTATGCTCATCACATTCTTTTATTTGCTTCTATGGATATTCATGTTGACATAGAAATCAACACAATTGGGTTGTTGGGGGGTCATTCATCAGGTATGGTTAGGATTTTCTTGGACTGGTACTGATTAAGGTCCCCTCAGGGGTTAAATGATTATCATATCCAAAGTTTTAAAAGACAAATAACCTCCAATTTTTTCACATGACGTCATGCATGAAAAACCTTAAAAATTCTGTTGTTTTAAATTATTTATTTCCCTGTCACCTGAAGCTTATCGTTTATGTTTTATTTATTTTCCCTTCTCGCCGATAAACACAGTTTTTAATAATTGATGGAAAAATAATGAGCTATTGACGAGTGCAATCGTGATAGGTAATCTACTTGTTTTTTGAGTATAAGGCAATAATGGATACATTTTTTTTGTACTACGTCAGGATAATTTTGACAAGTTGATTTAAAATTAAGCTTCAATTATAATTATAGAAAATGAATTTATTATCTTGAAGAATGTCGTTTTTTTGGATTTTTCAGGCTTAATTGTATTGATGTATTACCAAATGAGTACAAACGAGGTTGATTTTTAAGATTGTTACTATTTTAAAGAGCAGAGCAGGTTGTAAATAAAACAATATATTTTTTAATCCAATGCCTTTTGAATACGCATTAGTTCAGCATACTTAAGTCCTATACAGTCAGCATAAAT